CTCTCATTTTAAATGAGAAAACAAAATGAAATTATGGTGTTCAATAGCCATGTTCCTCGAGACCAGCTTGTTGCCTCTTGCTAACTCTCACTCTCTCCCGGGTGTCTATTTGGATATCTCCTCCATCTGTAGTTAAATCTGGCTTCTTTCAATTTCGCTAGATTTCTAAAGCTAAGCATTATATACCACACAGGAACCTCGAAAAAGGTATCCATGCTTTTGTGACCTCCGGGTTAGACTGTTGCAATTCTCTTTACTGTGGTCTCCAATAGGGATGGGTATCGAAAACCGGTTCTTGTTGAGAGCCGGTTCCCACTGTTTCAATTCCTTGGAATTGTTTGCCATTTTTGCAAACGATTCCCTTATCGATTCCAGTCGCCCCGAATGAGGTCACCACGTCGCGGAACGTCATTTATCTGGCAGGAAACACGGCGCCTAAGCGGCTTAAACGCTCAAAAGTTTGGTTATACTTTACGAGAACGGATGACAACAGGGCAACTTGCAATACTTGCAAAGTAGATATTTCATTTAAGGAAACACTACGAATATGCAAAAGCATTTGCTCACAAAACACACGATGACCTTAAATGAATGTCGTGTTTTTAATTCGCTCCGGACTCGTGAATCTCAACCCAGCAGCAGCGGTAACGTTTGCACGTCCTCTCCCGTTAATGCGGCAGGTAAATAATCAACTAACAGTGCATATTATGTTAGCGCGATCTGCCTTATTACAAAACCTGCCATTACTGTGCATTTAGGTGACCATGATGAGACAGACAGAGTCTGGCTCAGATGCTGGCAGTTCTCACTGCAGTCTACCGGTAGCGTCTCCTTTCAGGCCAGGATAGACGAATGTCACCGAGCAGTGACTGAGTTTGTGGTCAAAGGCTTGCACCCGTTTGCCACAGCAGATGATTTTCGGTAAGTGAATGTGTTTAATTGTAGGCAGGGACATTACTGAATATTCTTGTGTAATTGCTACAGAATAATTTATGTTATACTTTGTTATTGCTACAGAAGAATATTTATTTTATTATTTTACATTTTTTTTCCTGGGGACCCTGTGACGCCCCATTGAAGAGCCGTAGGCTGGATCTCTTAAGATCTCACTGTTGGGTTTGTAAGGCCATGTTACTCCTAAGTTTCTATCTTGTTCAAAGAGAAGATATAAAACAAAGTTCTAAGCTAATCGACCTTAGTGTTCTCCTTTTTAAAAAAGAATCGATAAGAGAATCGAATCGTTAAACAGAATCGAAAATGGAATCGGAATCGTGAAAATCTTATCAATACCCATCCCTAGTCTCCAATCTGTCTCTCTTCATAGGCTACAGCTTGTTCAGAATGCTGTGGCTCGCCTTCTTACTGGAGCTAAAAAAATTTGATCCTATCACTCCCGTTCTTGTTGATTTACATTGGTTACTTATCAAATATCGTTAAAAATTTTGCTACTCACTTTAAAACTCTGAATAATTTTGCACCCAGTTGTCTCACTGAACTTCTCAATCTGTACACTCCTTGTCGTGCGTGATGGCCCAAACTAAGTTTAGGCTGAAAACCAGAGGCGATCGTGTCTTTGCTTCAGCTGCTTCAACCTTTGGACTAGCCTCCCCGCTTCTATTCATGCCCCAGACTCTATCCAATCCTTCAAATCAAGATTGAAGGCTTACTTATTTAACCTGACTTTCCCGACCAGTTAATGCCCTTTCAATAAACTTATAATTAATTTCACTGCTGTTTTTTTTTTTTACTTTTTAGTTCAGATTTTGTATCCATGAACTGACCTTCCTTCTGAATTGACATTTTACTTAACTCTTCTGGTCTATTAGTGCCTCCTTTCTGTCTGTGCTAGTGCTAGTGCCTAATCTGTACTTTGTTAATTGATTTATGTTGATTCTTTGTATCATTGTGAAGCTCTTTGGTGTGCCTTTGGGTTTTTAAACGTGCTATTTAAATAAAACTGTATTGTCTTGTAATGTATCTTTATAGTTACCTTTATAAGAGTCATCCTAGAGAAGGAGAGGCCTGGAGGATAGAACATTATAAGGCTGGTGTTGTATGAGTCATCACCATCATTTTTCAAATGTATAGTCACATTGAAGTAGTTATTTTCTGTCACCAATAATGTCGGAGTCCTGAGAGAGACAAACAACACCTAATATTAAACATATGACATTAATCGTATTATATCTGAGTCGTGTTTGTAGATATACATACTCGAATTTGAATTTGACATCCAGTTCAGCGATACAAGTGTCATTTTTTCTACATTGTTTCTCAAAAGGAACCTGCGAAAAATAAAACTTGTGTTTAATTGATGCCAGAAAAAAAGATTTCCTTCCTAACACACTAAACTGAGGTGGTGAATGTGGTAAAATTGTACAGTGTTAAATTGACACTAGAGAGTTTCTATATAGGTTCACTCTTTCCGGTATTAAATGAACACTGACAGTGTTATATTTTAACAGGAGCCTAACACTAAGCAGTACTGATTTTCTAACACTGGAATATCCCTAACATTTTAGGTTATTTTTCAGTGTTTGAAAATGCTCAGTGTTAGTCGTTGTTAATCTTTAAACCTGACTAGGCTACTGATAACACTGTCAAAGTGTTCATTTAACACTCAAAATAGTGGATGTGTAGATGCAGCTTTGTCAATTTTGTGAATATTGATGTTGTATGTAGAACGTACCTCAACAGCAGACTGCTTTTTGCTGTCCATGTTCAGGGTGATGTTAGCAGTCTCACTGTCAGCTTGAGAAAAGTTTAATTTGATGCTGATCGGTGACAACGTGTCGATCACACATTTCTGTAAAGCAAAAGCAACAAGAGAGGAGCAATAAACACGAGGTTTGCTTTTGATCAGATTGAGAATATGTGCAAATATTATGAATTCAGCTTCATACGTGCATGTAGATGGAGAAGTTTAAGCAAGTCATTTCATCTTTCAGCTCATAGGTGGAGGTAAGACTCCTGGTTTTCGTATCAGTTTGAGTGAAGAAACCTCGATGTTTTTGTCTCATTGGGTCCACGGCGAACATGTATGTGATGTTCAGTCCAGAGCTCACATTCCCTGTAAACCCGCAGAGCAGGATTACAATAATGCATTCACAGGGTGCAGTCAGCAGCTGTTAAATGGTTTACTGAATGAGGCTCCTACCTTGTTTGCTCTTTGTTGCTTCTACCATTTCAAAACAGGCTGTTAAGGTAAGCATAAGTAAATTTCCTTCTGCACCCTGACAGTCAAGTTTCTCTGTGCTTATCTCCTTAGGGTGGAAAGATAGGTGAGCCATCACATTAAAGACGGGCTTGGAGCTGAAAGACATTTAAGAACAGTAATAAGAAAGTAGTAATGATGCCCTCTTTCAATACTAAGGTTTTATATATCAGGACATAATACAGTATAGCAACATTAGTTCTTTATTTTATATACAAAACCAAATCTGAAAAATTTGGGACACTTTATAAAATGTAACAACAGAATGCATCCATAAATCCATATTTTATTCACAACAGAACATAAAAAATATCAAATGTTTAAAATGAGAAAGTGGTCGAGTTTCTCACAGGTAATGATGGGCAGAAATTCACCAATTTGCAAAAAACTGCATCTACACATTATGGAGCAATTTGCGGCAACAACAACAACTTAAACTTTGTGTTTTCCCCCCAAATTAAAACTCAAAGCACAAGAGTTGTGCAAAGGGAGCTGTAACCCTAACACTAAGCACACTAACCCTACCTTAAGACAACAGCAGCGCCCTGTGATCCGATCACAATATCTGGGAGGCCATCCTCTTTGATGCCGACGCCCCCATCGATGGCCTGTCCAAAGAATCTTATCCCAGGTGTTATTTTGTCTCCTGTGATTCTCTGAAATAAGAGATTTCAATACTGAAAAAGTGTTTTCACACATATTTGTATGGCAGAGAAAAACGGTGTATTTACATTAAAATTTAACAAAGGTCTTATAAGAAATGCTACTCTTTGTGATGTAGATTTCACATGACATTTTGCCCATTCTCCTCCATCCTCTCTATTCTAATTTAATTGTATTTATACAGCACCAAATGACAAAAACAGTCGCCTCGATGCTCTTTATCTAAGCCTTTTCCACTCACAGACAGTTGGCTGTTTTTGTGTTTTGCTTGTTTTGTTTTTTTAAATTCCAGAGATCAACAGTTTCACAAATATCAGCAATCATTCCAAAGTCAAAATCTATGAGCTCAAGTTGTTTGTTTCCTATTCTGATGTTTCATGTGAAGGTTAATTGAAGCCCTTGGCTTGTATTTTCAGGATTTTATCAGCTGGAATATGTTCACATGATTAGTTAGTATCATTAATAGTAGGATTGGTAGAAACTCTTGTCAAAGGAAAGAGACTGAGCTGCCTCATTCTCTTTCCTGAAACAGCCTTGCTCAATGATCTCCTTCTGATTGCTGACTCTGGACGCTCTTCAGTCCTGGTCCTACTGGATCCATCCTCGGCCTTTGATATGGTAGATCATAACACCCTATTAGCGAGGCTTGAACACACAGTTGGCATTAGAGGTGCCGCCCCAGATTGGTTTAAGTCATATCTTTCTAATAGCTCTTTCTCGATCAATTTTGGCCCTTATCTCTCCTCTGCTGCACCTCTCTCGTGTGGCATGCCTCAAGGATCTGTCCTCGGCCCCCTGCTCTTCTCACTGTATATGCTCCCCTTAGGCATCTTTGTGAAGTACAACATTGCACATAATTGTCACGCTGACGACATACAGATCTATTTCGAATTAACTGATGATCCTGCTATGTCTTTGCACGGTTTTCGTGAGTGCTTGCGCAAAGTCAAAGATTGGCTCGCTTATCTCTCGTGTTTGACAGTAGTATTCCCTGTGGCCAACTCCGTGATGCCTTCGGTTCCTTTGATAGTTTCCTCACCGACACTGTTAATGGCCTGGGTGTGTTTTTGGATAGCTCTTTAAAATTTGACAAACAAGCGTCTGCTGTTGTCAAATCTTGCTTCTATCAATTGTGTCTTATTAGCAAAGTCAGGCATTATGTCCCGCATAGGGACCTGGAAAAGCTTATCCACACCTTCGTGACATCTAGGTTGGATTATTGCAGCTCCCTTCACTTTGGTCTTAACTCGACTCTTCTCCATAGACTGCAAATTCAGAATGCGGCTCGTCTCCTTACTGGTAGTGGGCGGCGTGTCTCTATCACCCCTGTCCTTGCTGACCTGCATTGGCTTCCCGTTAAGTATCGCATTCGATTCAAAATCCTGCTGCTTACCTTCCGAATTATTAACAATATAGCTCCAAGCTACCTCATTGAGCTACTTAGATTATACACGCCTACTAGAGTACTAAGATCATCTTCCCAGGAACTCTTGGTACAGCTGAGACCCTGGCTGAAGACTAGAGGTGACCAAGCATTTGCCTTGGCTGCACCTGGTCTACGGTATAACCTCCCCATTGCTATCCGCGAGTCTGATTCCATTCAATCCTTCAAACTGCGGTTAAAAACCCACTTATTTAGCCTCACCTTTTCTACCAGTTAATGACTGGTTGTTAGTTAGTTTAATGCTTATTTCTATCTTCAGTCCATTCTTAACTACTTTTAATCATTTTTAAAATTTTTGACTGTTTTATCCTTTACACATATTGTTCTTTTATGCTTTTATATGGATTTCTTTTGCTTCTGTGTTTTAAATGCCATCTAACATGCTAGCATGTTGGTACTTTGCCACAGCCTTGATCCTCCCCTGTTACTTCATCTCCCCCTCTTGTATGTTAAGCATTTTTTGTACACCACTGGTTTTAAATGTGCTATATAAATAAAGTTTGTTGTTGTTGTTGTTGTTAGTTAGTAAACAATGAAATGAATGCTACACGTGTACTATATTCAAATGAAGAAAACAATTACAGTAATACAAAATTATGTAATGTGTACTAAATTATACAATAAAATACTATTCCATTAAAAGTAAACACTGCTCAGAGATTGAGCTGACTTGCTGGAGATTTGTGCTGGTAAAGTTTTTTTTTTGTTACTTGAAATGATACTTAAAATCATGGGATTCATGGCCAACTGTACCTTAAAAGATTTTAATCTCAGTTGACTCAGCAGATTAAAGCACTACGATGGCTTTTAGCTTGAATTAACACCCTGTTTTTCTGTTTTATTGTAGTTTACATTATTTTATTTTAGCGTAGAGGCGATCGTGGCTCAAGAGTTGGGAGTTCGCCTTGTAATCAGAAGGTTGCCAGTTTGAGCCCCGGCTTGGACAGTCTCGGTCATTGCGTCCTTGGGCAAGACGCTTCACCCGTTGCCTACTGGTGGTGGTGGTTTTTTTGTAGTCTATTTCTATTTTCCCTGTTGTTTTCACTGGCTGACCTGTAAAGCACTTTGACAGTAGTATCCCCAACTGCTACTACTGCACATTCACCCAATGTGTGTGTGTGTGTGTGTGTGTGTGTGTGTGTGTGTGTGTGTGTGTGTGTGTGTGTGTGTGTATATATATATATATATATATATATATATATATATATATAAAATGTCCTTCCTCTACCCCCCCCCCCCCCCCCCCCCCCTCATTTTTGCACATGTCGAGCGTGTCAGGCTACATTTCACTGTGTGTTATACTTGTTTAACTATGCATGTGACAAATAAAGAACCTTGAACCTTGAACAACCTTTGACTATTACTTCCAGACACTTGAATATTTTTCTTGACCTAATTACTAGGGGTGCAACAATACACAAAATTCACGGTTCGGTTCGATACTTTGGTGTCACGGTTCGATATTTTTTCGATAAAAAAAATGTTCATGCCTTTTTAATTTGTCATTTATTACATTTTCACGGCACATTCTGCACCACATCTCTGTGCGTTCATCATTTGTTTGAAGCCAGCTCACCTCCTGCAACTACTTTTCCGAGAATACGTGCTTCTTTTGTGGTTCGGACTCCTTCTGACATTTCTTTGGAGGTGGAGTAACATCACAGTAATTGCTTAAAGGAGCTTCTTCGACATCTTTAAGAGTTCTAAACAAATGTCTGTCCTCCTCCTGAAAATCTTATGTATGCAAACACGCGTTGCAACTTCTTATCTTGTGCCCGTTTTTTTTTTATTTTGACAGCGAATGCGCACCTGCGGACCACTTATGTGCAGCCCTGGTTATTTCGCTTGTCATATTGCAGCCACAGAAATTCTTTTGTCCATGAAACCATAAAGCTGCACTTTCTTTTTGCCTTATAGTCTGATTTGTCATAACTTTTTCGTTTTGTGGTAAGCTTTTCTTTGGCTGTCACTTCTTCACCCTGACCTGTCTTATTTGGCTCAGCAGAACTAAAATATTGTGGCGAGCTCAGACAAGGAGGAGACGGAGGTATCGTTTGGTCTTGCTTCCCATGAGCTAGCCAGGGAGCACAGCCGTTTATTGACATCTGCAGAAGAACACTGTCGCTAGCTAACTGCTCAGCGCGGCAACAGCACAGCAACAACAACAACAACAACAGCAACAACACACAGGCCGCCCTCTGACCCCGGAAGGACACACCGTCGCAGCGAGAGGGCATCACCCGTCACTATGGCAACATAAATAAAACATAACTGTACAAACAGAACCCCGAACAGCCCTGACCCGCTACATAGCCCCCACCTAAGGGGTCAGTCGTCCCCGACGACCCCATTACCCCACACAAAGTCCTGCAAATGTCCAGGTGCCTTCTTTTGGCGCACCGGATGGTCACGACCGGCGGGGGAAAAGTCACTGGGGTCAGAACATGGGGTGCCACCATCATCCCACTTCTGACACCAATGTGGCGAGCTCAGACAAGGAGGAGACGGAGGTGTCGTTTGGTCTTGCTTCCCGTGAGCTAGCCAGGGAGCACAGCCGTTTATTGACATCTGCAGAAGAACACTGTCGCTAGCTAACTGCTCAGCATGGCAACAGCACAACAACAACAACACCACACAGGGCGCCCTCTGACCCCGGAAGGACACACCGTAGCAGCGAGAGGGCGTCACCCGTCACTATGGCAACATAAACAAAACATAACTGTACAAACAGAACCCCGAACAGCCCTGACCCGCTACAATATATATCCTGCTGCTTTTACACACGCACTCACATAACGCTCAGCGATTCTCTGCTCGATCAACCTCTCACATGTTTAAGCTGCGGGAGATTTCACTTGTCATGTTTGCATAGTAAGCTAACGATTAATAAGACGATGTCAGAGGAATTGGTGCGCAAATTATCATCACTCACCAATCAGTGCTGTCGCTCTCTATACACAGTTCACGTGATTGCAAAGTGAAAGCAAAAGACAAGGGCAAATTCAAACGCGATTTCAATATGTCACATATTGACAGTGGCTCACCGATGCCAATGACATAATAACCCAGCTACATTTCCGAAAGAATGCAAAAGCATTGACATATATTTTTCCTTCCTATGATAGCCCGACAGGCAGGGCAGAGATAGATTTTGGTAGCCCGACTGGAAAAATCGCTAGCCCCTGGACGTTGGGCAGGCGATTTTGCGAGCCCTGTATCTGATTAAGGAATCACTCATCTTTGGAAAAGAGAGTTTATTACAGAGAAATGGCTCTTTCCAAAATAAAAGCTATACTATCCGCTTCTTCTGGGCTATATTCTCAGCAGCATATTAAACATATCAGGTCCTGTAAGGAGAATCATGTGCTAACGGCTGTCTAAATGACTCGGGTAAAGTTTGTAGCATGCGTGTTTGTTGTTTTTGTCTGCTTCCACTTGTCTTTGCACTAGGATGATGTCAGCGTAAATGTGCAGTCATATTTGTTGTGTTCCCACTAGTGCTTTCAGGTTAATCTCGTTGAAATGACGTTAACGCCACAACACGGCAAATCTCCGTTAACGAGCTACCGCAGATCGCCCGTGCATGGGGCTGGACAGCCAACATGTTAACGAGCTAACTGCGCTAACACACTAGCTCCCACCAATGTAATTGAGCATTGCGTGGAACATCCAACATACTGTTTTACTTTAGTCCATGACGCGCTTACCTTCAGGGTCATACATCACATGAAAACCAAAATAGTTCCAAACGCCAGATCTGAATGAGGGTGGGGGAGGTTCAATTTGCCATGTTGCAAGGAGAGCTTAACTTCTGTCTCGCTAGCTTGCCTGCTCAGTGAATCTGCGTTCGACTACTCCGCCTAGGCTGCACTGTCGAGCGCAGATCCACTGAGCGCTCAACACAGACAGCATCATCAGAAGGAAAGTTGATAAAATAAATTAAAAATGTATTTGGTATTGTTCATACATATGCGTACTGAACCGAAAGCACTGTATCGAACGGTTCAATATCGATAAGAGTATCGTTGCACCCCTACTAATTACAACATTCCTGTCAGGTTAGCAAGAACATTTCTGATCTGATCCTCTGTTTTCCCCCTTTTAAAAAAAAAATGTAAACAGCAGACATCTTTCTTTAAGTGATGCTCCCATTTTTCCAATCTTGTGGCCAAAAAAAAAAAAAAAAAAGACAAACAGGAAATAAGTAAGCTGTCAAACATTGTTAATAGCAAAAACAAGAATTTCACTTTCTTTTAGTTTAACATTTATTTTTAAGTTCAGAGGAATATTGTTATTGGATGAACAAGAAAAGTCAGCTAAATATGTTGATTTAGTAAAGTCAAAGATTGAGAAACTTAAAAAGTTTCTCATGTTACTTTGATATTTTGACTTTTCTCAGCTTAAATTATAGTGATGTCACAGTGGCTATGTCCTTCTGTGTCCATTTATACACGCATGAGGTTTTATAAGTTGTATAAGTTCCTACGATGCTGTTGCTGAATGTAACTTATGTAAGTGTTAAGACTGAGACAGAAAAATGTTTTTAAAAGTAAATTCAAAATTACTGAAAAATATTTCACTTGTTCCAAACCCATTGCTGTTTATGGTTACTGTGGTTTCCATGTCCGTTTCTCACCTGGCTGAAAGTGCTGCGTATCCCTCTATGTCTGTCTCCAAGGTAGATATACACAGCACCTCTGTTATCATCCTCAAGCGGAGCTCCGACAGCAACGTCTCGGAGTTCATCTCCATTCAGGTCTGCGAGGCTGGATATGGTGGTGCCAAATCTACCCATGGATGGTCCCATCACAATCAGTTCACTTTTCAGTTGCAGCTATGAGAAAAGAGGAGATTAGTTCATTGAGTTTGATCATGAAAGCATTGAATGTCACACTGTAATATCACAAAGTGGTGGCTCACCTCATCAGTCAGAGTGTAGATGTAGATCTGACCTTCTTTCTTCTCCTGAAGCTGGTAAAACGTTGGCGCTCCCACCAGCAGGAAATCAGTGTCACCGTCTGAGTTAATATCCACCGAACACAGCTCGGCGCCGAAGTAGGAACCGATCTGACAAGTTAGTTATATCATTAGTTCAGTGTTGTTTTAATTATAGATTTATATCATTTAGGGATATAGAAAAATGTGCCTCAAAAATCATCAATGCAGGGAAAATGCTTCATGTACAGAAAACACAATATTACTGCCAGAAAATATGATTTCACAAAACAAAATAAACATGCTGACAAAAACAAGAATCCCTAAAAACAGTTACAGAAACCGACATGTATGCCTGCAAAGTAAGTTTAATGCTTTACGGTGCTTTGAACAAGTTTTATTTTTGAACTGTTTTTATTAAATCAAACAAGGTGCCAGTGTAAGGAAGTTCTTTGGTTTCCTCTGTGTAGCCACAGAGTTTATTTGCCTTTGCACAAGTCTGGAAAGTTGCAAACATTGAACGCTATCATCATTTTAGACTCAGACTACTAGTGATGCATTTCATATTTCTTTCACTCCCATCTTTTCAATCCCTGTACGACATCATTACTGCAACTTGGTGACTTCTGTCTTCTCTCTCCTTTAAATTGTGTTTTGTCATGTTTGACATTTGTGGTTTATCTCCATGCTCTTATTTTCTGTCTTATTTTATCTCAACCAGTCTGCTAGAGGTCTGTTCCTGTTACTAGAGTTCAATCAAGTGTTTGATCATGCTGATCGTCTGCTTGTTGTGGTTCTCTAATATTTCACGGTCTTTACTTTATAATATAGAGCACCTTTCTATAATTGTTAATGTGAATCACTGATCTACACATAGAAGTGATTTAAAATAGAAATAACAGTAGATTTGATCAAGAATATTTGCATTTATTTCAAGGCAACACTACAATCAGGTATCAACAATGACATGGAGACATAGAATTACTTCCAAAGTCAAACGGAGCCATATGAAGAAAAACAATTAAAAGGTACTGACCTGGTCTCCAGTTATTCTTTGTGCTGTGGTCCAGTTGTTGCTGTTTTGTTTGAAAAGTACAACCTGTCCTGTGTGCTGAAACCGGGGTGCACCCGTGAAATACAAAGAAACACCACCTCTCTCTCCAACAGAGACAGAATATCCTGCAAGAGGCAAATATAACACACAACATGTTTTTATTTGAAAAACTAATGTGTGTATTTGTTGTACTTGGAAGATATTAAAACTGATTTAGACTGGAACCTTCCAGAGTTCATTTGTTCTAGTGTTGAGCCAAATAACGAAATCTTATTTTAAAAAAAGAAACATCAGATAATGTGTAAATAAAGTTTACCCATGTAGGAGTCCATCTCCATTTCTTGATCCTCAATTGTTTCTGTTTTATCTCGACGTTCTTGGAGAGAACCACGCCAGCTGTTTGTTCCCACTGAACCCAGAATCAGTGTATCCTAAAAACAGGAACGCACAAGTGGAAATGTGGTGAGTTTTTGTATGATATGTATAACTATGTAACTATATATATATATATATATCTATGTGCACTGAACATCCATATTTTAACTTTCATGTAGAGTCTTAAGCACAAGGCATTTTGTTTCACCATGGTTTATTAAAGTTTTACAGTAACAGGGCAGTTAATGCTGTTGAGAGTTTGCCTGAATAACTCACTCTCCAGCTCCGGTAACTAACCTTCCCCAATACACACTCAACATCTTTCATGCAGCACAACCAAAACAGTAACATTGTAACAGAGATCCTGAACACATCACGATAATATACCATATGGTATAAACACACACACACACACACACACACACACACACACACACACACACACACACACACACACACACACACACACACACACACACACTTTGAACCTACACTGAAGCATGTAACCTATGTAGTTATGTGCCACTTGCTGTGTAAGATTTAATAATTAGGATTAATGTGTGATGTTTGACCGTGTCATGACCTGTTGTGATGAGCCAAAGCCAAAGGGTAGCCGGAGTCCTGACTGGCCTCTGGCCAAGACCTTGGCCGCTACCTGACCCCTGCAGCTGTGTTTGGACGGGTTAGAAAGTTACCCAGCAGCAGGGTGCGGGGATACTGGTCCCTATATATTAGGGGACCAGAGGACACCCCCAGCACTTTCTTCCCCTCTGCTGTTTCTCTCTGTCCGTCTCTGTGTTGCTCTGCTGTCTGTGCATAAGGCTGTACACCCCGGGGTTTTGCTTTGCTTGCTTTCTGCTTTGTAATTTTCTTGCTAAATGTCTGTATGTATTTTTCCTGCTGTTCATATGATTCAGTGTATTAAACTCTGTTCCAAGAATTCTACTCTTTTCCAGAGCATCTTTTTGAGTGTCTTGATTTTAATTGTATCTAAAGAGGTTGGATCTCCACATCGTTGGTGGGAGAAGGTTATCAGGATGGCTTCAAAATTTGCGACCACAGAAAGAGGACAGAAATCTCAGGTATGATTAGAAAAGAATGTATAAGATCAACTGTGTCATCTGACCTGATGCAGCTGGACTCATTTTTTCAGTTATTCAGCAGCAGAAATTAAGTTTTAAGCCTTTAAACAATTCAGCTTCAGCTCATGTTGTGTGGTTTCTAAGCCTTTACTCTGATCCTCAGATGAGTTTAAGGTGCTCAGATAAATTTTGCTCACCTTGTTGAAAACAGCGCTGAATCCACTCTGAGACATTTCATCAGTCAGGTTTCCTGCTCGAGCCCCTTTGGAACCTAAATATGGATCATCAGGGAGTACACGTTACAGCTGCACATGTGGAAGATAACATATACTTTTTAATTGGGGAAAGAAATTAGACGCCACCTTCCACAGCAAAGATCTTTTTCTGAAAATTCTCCAGTACTCCTTTGAGTCCATCATAATTCTCAATTTTGAAGGCATTTTTGTCTTTTGGTTCTGAAGCGATGGCCCTAAATTTATCCAGCTTTGCATCCTTGATCTGAAACCAGAACACAGCTTTAAAACATGAAGGAGTTCCAAGTCTGACATAAGCATAAGAAAAAGATCAGTTCTACACATTAGACTTGTTCTGACCCACAACAGTAAAAACTAAATACATTAAAAGGAGCCACTAAACAGAAGAAAGAGGAGACATGATATATGACATTACCCCAATAACAAGACGAATTATATTTTTCTCATCATATTTTTTAATTATCCCTTTTCTGTCTGTATCAGAGGGATCTCCGTCTGTGATTAGAATCAGAGCTTTAGTTGCATCAGGAGAGGCGCCTGCAGCTGGGTTGTCAAAGATTTGATCACTGAAACAAAAGTAGAAAACAGATTTTGTCACACTCAAAATAAACGAAGCTGTAAACATGAACACATTAACACTAAATAAAACTTACAAAATGAATTCGAGGGCTCTGTGTGTGTTGGTGAGAGTTTTTAAATGCTTGTCATCCTTAAGTTTATCGAGAGCACGTCCAGCTGCATAGTCGTTGAAGTCAAACACTTTGTGGACTGTTGAGGAGAACTGAACTGCTGCAAACTGAAAAACCAACATAAATTATTTAGATACGACACCAAACAGTATATCTTATATATACAGTATCGTAAAAAATAAAAGCTGTGAATGCTTAAATGTTGCAGTAGTGCAGTGACCTTGATCGATGTGTTCTTCAGGCTGTCCATTATATCCACAATAAAATCTTTATTCTTGTTGAATTCATCTTCAGTCATACTCGCTGATCCATCGAACAGAAAGACGAGGTCCACTGTCTTTTTGGTGCAATCTGGGAAAATAATAAAATAAAAATATGTCTGTATCCCAATACCATAAAATTTATGAAAAAATAAAATAATTTAGTCATCATTTGAACATTAAGGAATGCCTTTTCAAAACACACTTTACTTTGAAACGCGGGTTTGAAAGAGGAAATTTTCTGGAGTTGATCCGAGAGCTCATAACAAATACTGTTCAGATAGGAGTTCTCATAGCATTCATGCACCAAACTTGGACTGCAAACCTAAATCAGAGCATAAAAGTTAAATAAAGCTCCGCATATTAATTTGTTTTGCTCACAGTGATGAGGAGAGAGAGTGATTTACTCACAGTGAATCTGGAGCCGGAGGAATCAGCAGCGATCGACAAGCCAAGATGTTTGACTGCTGTTGTGTTTGACTGCAGGTCCTCTGCAACTGAAGCATTTTATTATAAAATACAAACTTTTACAGTAATGTATTTAGTTGTAAGTTATAAATTGTGTAATATTCTGTTGATACCAGTAGGGTTGAACCACTTGTTTTGGTGAGGTTGGTAAATTCCTCCAGATCCGTTTAGCCTGAGAGGTGCAGTGACGACTATCCTGTGGAAAATGATGACACTAATTAAACAGGAAAAGTTCAAAGTCCTGGCAGATCTATACAAATTTTTTGAAACATAGAAAAAAAATGTTGTAGCTTTGTTGTGCATTTACTTTTCCAGATCACTTGGATCAAACTGGGTTCTGTGTGTCCCTTGAATTAAATGAGTGCGACACCCCAGCTTTGATTTTGAGTTAACAACATCAACTTTAATATTTTGATGGCATGCTATGTGTGTTGCTGTGCTCCTTAAGCCACCTTAAACATTTTCGGTTAATTTGACTGTTTTCAGTAAAATGAAAGCAGCTACAAGTGCTCCTATTTTAAAAAAAAAAAAAATTTTTAAATTTAACTCTGCAGCTGCTGATTTTTAAATGCAATAATTAGTCGATAATCTTGTCTTGCATGAAGCTTCTGGTGAGTGAATACACACTTTGAAAGTGCATCAGCATGACTGAAATTCACCTGAAAGATTTTTGTTAGCAAGCAGAGAATCACTCTGAACACTTCTAGCAGCGTTACCACAGCCATAGTAAATAACCGGCTGCTCTTTATGTCGCGGCTTAGCTTTTCTAAAATGACGGTACATAAAATACTGAAAGAAATGTCCCAGAAATTGAAACTTTTCATTTCTCTAATTACTCTGAACATTTGGGTTTGAAATACAGCAACAGAGTTTTAACTAGAAAAAGACGCATTTGCTGTTTTAAGCAGCGCGTTAGATTAGTCACAGCAGTATTCAATGCTCAAGTCAAAACCACAACCCATCACAAGAGGCTTTCGAATGCTAAACTGGAATCATCTCACATATTCATTTTAATTTCAGCGAACATACCTTTTGTTACCATCACCAGACTTGTACTGTAGCACTTTGTATCCATAGAAATCACCTGGTTCGCCCTCGTGTTTCTTAGGCTCTGTCATTTTGATGTTAAAAGCCAAACAGGCGGGGATGGTTGAAGCTGAGAAAAGGAGAAAAATATGATCAAAAGTTCTACCAACTTTAAAATATAAAATATCTGCATTTAAGAAGAATACAAATAACTGAAGTTTTAATAATATATATTAAACATCAGAGATAAATCCTGAAGTTGCACTAAGTATAGTTGGTAGGGATACGCCCCAAAAACTACCCAACAGCATGTGTTCATTAGTAGGTTAGAGATCAGAGAGTCAGCTTTTTGTCCTTTTTGTCCATTTAAGTTGTTTTTTTTTTTTTTACTTTAGTGACAATTGAGGGAGAGATACCAGGATAACATCACATAGTATGGATCTAGCTGGAAAAGAAGTGAATGCATGAGTATTATTGTGTACTTCACTTTCTGAATGTGTTTCTGGACCCTAATTGGGAACACAAGTTTCACAAAATGATTGAAGAATAACGACTCATCAGGAAAGTATTAAAGTTGGTATCAAGAAAGATGAGGACTGTTAGAAGCAGACTCATGGGTGCAGTTTAGAGGAGTCACTTCCTGCTGGCCATTTAAACAGTTTCAGTCAGAGAGAGAAGCATAAAAATATAAAAGGACAGAAATTCTAGGTCTGAAAGTGAAGCCAAGGTGACACCACCTGAAGCTCACATTCTTTTTAATAACAGCCACAGGTGAGATGACAGTAAACACTGTCCTAATAGGTTTACACGCTCATTAGTTCCTTTTGGGTTATATAGAATAAAACATGTGGTCAATTCTAAAAGTCCAAAAGAAGAAGAACGAGGGTGAGTTCACTGCTGCACTTTCACAGTCACACCCACTCAGTCTCTCCCTTTCTGGTATCATCCAGTTTTAAAACATGAACAATTTGAAAAACGCCCTGCTCGAGGCTTCATCGTCAACATCACAGCTGACACGCAGAGAAAATCTCAGCCAAGCACTAGTGAATTAAGTGCAGTCGCCCTTCTTCTCCTGCTTCTTATCTTATCCGCAAAATAGTTACTTCTATTTTTGGAGAAGAGTTAGTACTTATAAGACACAGTTCAGAAGGAGGACGAGAGATACCATCTGTGTCATTTCACAGAAGCTCCTCCCTTGTCAAAACCTGGCATTTACCCACAATGCAACTCAAACCACAAGAACTTTGACAGGAAACTGATGTGGTGAAATAGAGATAAATGGTAAATGGCCTGTATTTATATAGCGCTTTACTAGTCCCTAAGGACCCCAAAGCGCTTTACATATCCAGTCAGCTACATTGTAACCACAGCCACCCTGGGGTGCACTGACAGAGGCGAGGCTGCCGGACACTGGCGCCACCGGGCCCTCTGACCACCACCAGTAGGCAACAGGTGAAGTGTCTTGCCCAAGGACACAACAACCGAGACTGTCCGAGCCGGGGCTCGAACCGGCAACCTTCCGATTACAAGGCGAACTCCTAACTCTTGAGCCACGATCGCCCCGATGAACTTAAGATGTCTGATGAGCTCACTTCTTAATTGTATTAGAAGTCTGCAGATGTAAGAGATGATAGTGACACACTTCAGGCAATTTATACTTTGCACAGCTCACCATGGCAACATTAAAGACTTTATACACCTCGTGGGCTTCCCCCTTTGAGATCACAGCAGAAAAAAACCTCATTCAGCTTTCTGCCACCGTTGTTAACCTTATTTCAAATCTTGGAGTGAAACCGTCATTCAGGTGCTCGACTGTGCAGATGTGTGTCAGTGCAAGTAAAGACAGGATGTGCTGCTTAGCAAATACAAGCAGAGGCAAATGTAAAAGAAATAATAGGCACTTTGACAAGCTGCAAAAATACGCCCAATCAACTGGGAAACCCATTCATAACTTGACCACATTCAGCAACACAAGATAAAAATAGTTGTATAACTGAGGCAAAATTAGAAGCGTAGCACATCAGTGTCACAAGTCGGGGTAGGCTTTTGCAGAAAACTGGTTCCCAGTAGTCCCATTTCTTGGAATTGTCCAAGGAATGGGACTACCGGGAAGGAATGGGACTAGTCTGCCTGCCTGTGGTCCCACTTATCAGCAGCTGATTTCACTTCAGCTGTCAGAGGAAGAAAATAGTGACGCTGTCTAGAATGTGGAAATGAGCATCTATATTATTTTTATTGCACAATTGGACGAGATAAACGGTAATGTGGAAAACTGTGTCGAGGACAGAACCAACCGTATTATGCTGCTCCAAATACAAGAAAAAACAGCATGCTAACGCTATGCTAACCATGATCCCAGAGTGAAAGCTGGGGTCTTTCACTCTGGGATCAGACAACCAGACCCTGAACTTCAACAGGTAACAAGCAGTCAGGCTGCAGCCTCCCTTTCTACCTGTTCATGTTTCTAAAGCAGAATCACCATGGCGATTCTTTTGTGCTGCTTTTCATGTTTTCTTTCTGTGGTTAGTTTTGTTCTACTAAGAGAAAGATCTTAGAAATGTGTGTCGTCATTAGGGATTTTGTGTTGGTGTGTGTGGCTGTAGCCTCAAGTTTATACTGTTAAATAGTGATTATGAGACAGTGTTTCAGGTATTTTACAGAGTAACATTAACGTAATGTAACGAGTAGTATAGCAAATTACTTTTTCCTGGGAGTAATTAAGTAACATGTTGCATTACTTTGAAAAAAAAAGTATTCTGTGTAATAATTCATTTTATGAGTAATAAGTCCAACACTGATCACAACAAAGACAGGAACTACCTCACAAACATGCACAAACATTTGAACCGCAGCATGGATGCATGACTGTAACTTCTTTATTGCTGCTTAGCAACTCTCAAAACTGAGCCAATGACAACCCAGGGACAATCGATGAGTCATATCATATTGATAATGGAATCCAGATCACAAATTTCTTATCAATTCCCATTCCTAGTCACAAGTTTTCTTTTCTTTAGTCTATTTTTTCATTTCTGTAGATGAGTAGCAAATTAATTAACCACGAAGCATGAAAATTATTTACATGAACAAAAAGATGCAGAAAGGTTAGTATAGTAAATAAAACCAAATGTTGAGCTGAAATAGATATTGAAATTATAGAAAGTAGAAAAACAAGATAACTGAAGCAACATTGTGTAACTACTTAAAAATAAGATAAAAAAAAAAGTGCACAGGAAATGTATCTAGTTTTGTTTTGGTAAGTTTTCAAACGTGTCAAAGATAACAGTGTCAGAAAACTGATGGGGGGAAGGGGGTTAAACTGAGTGTGAGTCCGTGCACTTTGCGAGGTAGGGCCTACAGCAGGGGTGGGCAATCTCAGTCCACGAGGGCCGGTGTCCCTGCAGGTTTTAGGTCTCACCTTGGGTCAACACACCTGAATCACATGATTAGTTCTTTACCAGGCCTCTGGAGAACTTCAGGACATGTTGAGGAGCTAATTTAGCCATCTAAAACCTGCAGGGACACCGGCCCTCGTGGACTGAGATTGCCCACCCCTGGCCTACACAGTGCTGCTTTTTTTTTATTTATTTATTTTATTTTTTGCTCCATCGCTTTAATTTTGTGATTTCATGTCACTGTATTATTACGGGTAAATAAAATCATATTAATTCACTACATTTTTGGCTAATTTTCACTTGGTTTTCTCTCGTATTTATTTCCTATTTATTCCTATTAAATGTCTCAAAACAAAAAGCATGAGAAAGCATTTCAGGTTTACAGGTTGCCGTGCTGACGCCTGTCTCAGCTGCACCCAGATCTGTCGCAGGGTCAAACTAAACATTTTTAAACCATACTAACTAAAATGAAATGAGGAAACACATTTGGAAACTAGCGAAACTGAAGTGAAATTAAAAAAAAAAAACAATATAAAAAAGGAAAGAGGAATTAATCAAATTCTCAAACTGTGATGACTCATTTAAAAAATATATACATCTCTTTGCACCTTTCAGCTCCTTGTTTTGGCTTTAAAGACACAGAACCTTGAACAGCTGTACACACCTGGATCTGCTCAGCACCAAACAGCAGTAAAACGGTGAACATAATGCAGCTGAAGGGTCTTTGACCAGTCCGTCAATGTAACATTAAAACACGTGCAGCCCCCAGCCCTCATGCACTGAATCTACTGTATTCAGCCCTCTGGTTGGGCGGATGGTTTGGATGAGCTTTTCTACAGCTCAACACAACTGAAGCAAACATAACTCAACCAATGAAACCGGATACTCAATTAAATCTTTATTGTTAAGTTGTAAATCCACATGAAGCTGCATAAATAATTCAAAGTGTGTCTAGCATGCTCCTGTTCTAAACACTCTTCCTGTGAGGATTTCCTGATTAGTTTCAGTTTTTTTCAACACCAAAACATTTTTCTTTCATCAGAATAAAAATTTAGACTTCTAAAAATAATATAATGAAAATATACAAAGCAGCCATGCCTGTCCGCAGATGAACTCTATCTCAGAAATGACAATAAATTCAATCATTTTGAAACTTACCAACAATCACCACGAAGGTGAGGAAATAGATGTGCTGTCGCCAGTGCATCTTTCAGGTCTAACACTGCTGCTCAAGTTTCTTCAAGCATGTGCCTGTGCAATACTTCCTGTGAAGGGCGTTTCCGTAACAGGTGGTAGAGACAAATTTCTCACGATAGTGCGCTCGACAAAGTGTTTATCTTCGCTTCCTGCTTCCCCTTTTTTCGGCAATTCCTTAAATCCTTCACTTTTCACTTCTTTAAAAAGAAATGTGAGAATTTTATTGAAGGGAAAAAAGATGGAAAAAAGTAGAAATAGCTCTTGATTGATGAGCTAGGACCCTGGACCCCTCATAAATTAGATCTAAATGTTTTCAGAAGAGCTCCAGCCGAGTCTTTTGAACAAAACAGCTACAACCGGTTTGCGGTTATTCAGTCTACTGAGTCAACAAAAGAAACTAAACAGAATAGGAGTCAGCACAGTAATTTCCTTCAAGGACTTCTTAACATTTTTATTTTATTGGATTTCTGCTTTTTGTTTTTCAGGTTTAAAATATATATTTTTTAAATATAGTAAATGAAGTGTGTGAAAGCTTTCCACGTCCACACAGTGATTGCTGTTTACAGCTACAGCACCATAAATGCATAAGAAGGTTTTAAAATCGTGGTGGGTGGTGTTTAGATAAAAATGAGGAACTTGTGGAAAAACTTGTAAGAACAGCCTGCTGTTCTCTTTGAAACTTGAAAGTAAAAGCTGCATAAACTGTTCCATAGTATAAAATATTTGTTTACAAGTAAGCTTTCAGGTTGTTTTTAAATATATATAAAACTAGTAAACACAAATTGTTCTCATCACATGGAGTTTGAGTCATGAGGGGCGATCTGGCTGAGAAACAGGGACACGACACGCTCGTGTGGTGCAGGCTGACCCGCCCATAGAGCTCACTTTGAATTACCGCTGTTTTAACACAGCAGAGACTTTGAATAAAAACAAATAACTCCATCCTGTATAAAATACAATTTTAAACACTTTAAACTGATCAGCAAAGACTTTAAAGGGGTCACAGATTATAAATAAAGAGTGTTCATTTTCCAACATGCATGTCTATAATAAGGATTATTTTTTTTAAATAGAGGAGTCGCCACCAGCTACAAGCTTGAAATTTAACTGGTCCTTCTGAGTGCATCTTTGTAAATATAATCATATGATATTAAGTATCATAATAGCATCCAAACGCTCTTGTGCTAACGACGAGATGCAAAACAAACTTCTTCTTCACTTCCTGCCACCATCGACCCACTTCAGCTTGCTTACCGGACTAATCGTTCCACAGACGATGCCATATCTCACCTGCTCCACACATCCCTGAGTCACCTGGAGACTGGCAGAGGGAATTATGTTAGGATGCTGTTCGTGGACTACAGTTCAGCATTCAACACAATAATTCCCTCTAAGCTTTTCACCAAGTTGACGGATCTAGGACTCAGCTCATCACTGTGTCAGTGGATCCTCAACTTCCTCACAGACAGACCCCAATCAGTGAGGGTGGGAAAACAAGTCTCCCCCTCCATCTCACTCAGCACTGGAGCACCTCAGGGCTGTGTTTGAAGCCCCCTGCTGTACTCACTGTACACTTATGACTGTGTAGCCACATCAGACACCACCTCCATTGTCAAGTTAGCTGACGACACTGCTGTTGTGGGCCTGATCTCCGACAACATCGAGACGGCCTACCTGGAGGAGATTAGGAACCTGGAGACCTGGTGCCAGGAGAATAACCTCCTCCTAAACGTCAGCAATCTAAGGAGCTGATCGTGGACTTCACTACAAAGCAGGCGAGGAATTACAAGCCCCTCATCATCAGTGGCACGCCAGTGCAGAGAGTGGACAGTTTCCGATACCTGGGTGTCCACATCACTCAGGACCTGTCATGGTGCTGTCACATCAACACCCTGGTTAAGAAAGCCCGTCAGCGTCTCTTCTTCCTCAGAAGACTTAGAGACTTCCATCTGCCACTGAAGGTGCTCAAGAACTTTTACTTTTACTCCTGCACCATCGAGAGCGTCCTGACGGGAAACATCTCCACCTGGTTTGGGAACAGCAGGCTATTCGGGCCCTGAACCAGGTGTAGGACTGGACTCTCCCACACACATCACATCACCACACGCACTCTGGTTTTTCTTCATGCACACTTCCTATAATTTATAATCTCTTTCTGCTATTTGCACATTTTTTTACTGTAAATTTCTAAGTTAAATCTGTAAATTTTGTATAACCTGTAAATTGTAAATACTGTAAAACCACTGTCATTTAATGGTCGGGCATTGCATTGCACAGGTACAAGCATTTCACCTCATGTCATACTGTGTAAGGTTGTGTGTGTGACAAATAAAATTTGAATGTGAATTTGAAACTTGTCTCTCGGTGGTCTGGTCTACTGCCTGGCATTTAGGAGACTTTTGTCTTTACTTCTACCACTCAGCACTATTAAGCGTGCAAGGAGAATCCATCTTACTGCTTCTTAACTTCAAACAGTTTCATTCATCTTTATCCTGCATTCACGGCGCAGTTCCTTCGGCTTCTACTGTTTCTACTGTTTCTACTGTTAGGGATATAATATTCTGGACTTTAACAAAGTTCTTTTGCTCTTTGGTTCTCTGAGAAATTTGGGGTAATGAATGTAACAGTTGGGCTGTAATATTTCCTGTATTGCATTAATGCAATACAGGAAATATTAAAAAAAAAAAAAATCAGACATATTGTATTTGAGATCTGAAAGACTTTTCCTTTGGCCTACAACACTGTGCAGAGTGCAACATAATTTTAGGCTCATCGCTGATCCTTACCACAGAGAAATAAAGAGTAAGCAAACAAGATGCCTCAAACGCAGACGACTTTAAATGCAGTCTTTCTTGGAAAGTATTAATGTGTTAACACAACAATCACATTTTCCACAGTCTGGCATATTATTAGAAATGTTTTATTGGTGATTTTTTTATCAATCAATTTGCGGTTGATTAAACATCCTGTTTAATCGAGCATCAGGCTTTTGAACCTTGAGTGAAAAGTCCACCACTGGGCAGCCCTGCGTTATGCAGCCCAGAGAAACGATGTCCACATGTGAGGAGAGATACAGAGCTACGTTTTCTGGCGTGACTCCTCCACTGGCTTCTATCAGAAGAGCAGAGAACTCCTCCTTCAGTGCCTGAGCTGTGACTCGGAGCTCCTGCAGGTGAAAGAGGAGAAGTGTAACCATGGAACAAAAACAACAATCACCCTGGGTCTGTGTTTCTATAATATTCGCCACCTGAGGTTGAAAGTTGTCCAGCATGATGACGTCTGCTCCCGCTCTGGCTGCCTCCCTGCCCTCCTCTGCTGAGCGACACTCCACCTCAATCTTACTGCTGAAGCCGCACACCGAGCGGGCAGCTTTCACCGCCTGGGGAGCAAACGGGGTTGTGCGTTTGTGTTTGTCTGCTTTTTAGTCAGCACAGCTGACCTGATGAGAGCTGTGAGGCCTGAGCTACAGAATCTAGATAAAGGAAAGTAAAACAGACAAGCTTCCTCTTTGCTTTCCTGTGCAAAGAGGATGACTGCTTTCGGTAATCTCATGACCTCTTGTGAATCCCAGTGTTTTAAAATAAAATAATTTCACAACTTTTGTAAAACTATGTTAAAAAATTATGTTAAGGCTTAAAATCCCATAAAAACTGAACAGAGTTTTACATAGATTAATCTAAAAATTCAACTCAGGAATATTTCTTTTGCCTAGACGTAGCATCCTCTCAAATATCACCTTAGAAACAAAATGCAAACACAGGTATGCAGACTGATACTGCCAGTCGCTGCTTTCGTCATTTTTCCTCAGTCTTCTGCTTCTGTTATTATTACTCACACTTCTTGTGATGTATTCTTGTTTTGCTTCCTCTTTCAGGGCTTATTTATTGTTGAATTTCGGTAACAGCAAAAAAAAAAAAACCCCAAACCCTTCCTTCTCATGTATTTTTGCCTGCTTCAGTCTCCTGCATTGAGTCCCCTCTCTGCCAACACATGACAGACGGCATCAAAAACAAAAGAAAACATGTCTACATGTAATCCTGCTTCTGTTTGGATGTTGCAAACAGAAACATGCCCCTTTGACAGTCAAAACCGTTACCTCAAGCTTTTGGTTTTGAATGTGCAGGCTGTCTGAGGTTTGTTGTTGATATAAAGTTCCCTGAGGTAACTGTAAGTTTACAAAACAAATCTATGGGGTGTTTTTGCCTTCATTGTATACTTACAGTGAAGACAGGCAAAGAATGTGAGGAAGGGGAGCAAGGAGGGCACAGAAAATCAAAATATTTCATTAGAAACAGTGCAGCAGTATTGAAAATATTGATTCTCAAAACCTTTTCAAAACTATAGGAGTAGCTTTTGGATGGATGCATTCTTTCTAAAGCTGGCAGGGGCAGGAACTCTGGTTGCAAAAATAAATCAGACGGTATAGAAGTCTATTGAGAAATAATCATTTTATCACCTCAGATAACACTTTCCTGGTTTTATGGTCTGAAACTGAAAACATGATTATTATTTTTTACATTTTCTTATTTTTGTCAATTTTATAAACAAATAGAGTAAAATAAAGATAACCCCAAACAAACCTGAATCTTCAGGTCCCAGAAACCACTGGGTGATATCATGGTGGCTCTTTTATATACAGCCTATAGACGTTTCATGAAGCCCTGCTGTCTCTTGTTGATAGTTTTTGAGGCTTTTGAATCAGGTCTTCAAAATTCAGGATCCAACGTTATCAAAGACATTACTTTCAGTCTGCTGAACTTTATGCTGGAGTTTAGATTACTTACATTTTATGTACTGATCTTTGATGCCCACCTCTGTGATACTTCCCGATGCCCACACATGATTGTCCTTTAACATCACCATCCCACTCAAATCTTGTCTGTGCATGGACACGCCGCCAACCAACATGGCATATTTCTCCACCAGACGAAAGCCCGGAGTAGTCTTACGCGTGCCAGCCACCTCCCCGTGCCAGCCGTGTGCCTTTGCAATAGCCTGGAGCTGAGAGCAGCGGGTGGCAATGCCCGATGCCCGTGCCAGGCAGTTAAGAGCCGGTCGTTCCCCGAGGAGGAGGGAGTTTGCCGGGCCTCTCACCACAGCCGTCAGGGTGACAGCATCTTCACCTGTGGATAAAAGCAGGTAATATAAAAACGGATCTGAATAAAAGTCTGTAATTTACTTTGAGAGTAATTTACAAGAAGAAAACGGAATTTTCACTTTATGGAAAAAAAACTTTTATTCGTTCCCTGTTGAGTGGTTGATGTCATTTCCTGTTCCTATACTTTCAGCAGATATGTCGTTATGCTATTAATCTTCTTTTAGTGTTGTGTTTTGCCTTTTGGCTCCATTGTTGTTTTCCTACCAAAGATAGTTCTCTAGTTACTTGGAAATATTTTGGGATTTTGCTTCAGGTATACTGTATGCCCACATTTTAGTGTGTATGTGATACAGCTCTCTGTTTGCACTCTACAACCTGGGTTTGCCATTTATCTGTACTCCAATTATAAAAACTGTACAGAACTCTGTTTTGGTAACTATTCTCCATGATGTAAATATGTAAAAATTGTGTGTGTTTCTGTTCTGTGTCCTGTTCTGTTTGTATATGTGTTACAACCAAATTTCCTCTTGTGGGACAATTAAACTATTATTCTATTCAGTTAAATTATTTTCTGTTATATATTTACTGTTGTTCATATTAAACATGGCCAAACTTTCAGATGATGATTATGTCAGAGTATGAACAATTAATCTGTGTGAGCTGAAGGCTGGTGACTCAACCTTAGCTATCTTTTTTAACTCTTTGTTCTTTTGAAGTCAAAGAGAGTAACGATCTAATATCAGTGTTTCAATCAAACGGCTGGAGATGAGCACAGAAACATCACCCACCTGCTGTTCAAACTTTCTGTTTAAACATCAGCCAATCAGAGAAAAGTTGTCTTAAGCGGGGATGGGTTAAATAGCTTGTTTCAGACTGGATGAGCTGAGAGGTCACACCAAGACCCAGTGTAGAACAAATAAGGATTATTTTGAACTGTGAATCATGCAAAGCTACTCTGGTGCCCAGTAAAAAAAAAAAATATGGAGCTGGGAATGAGCAGAAACCCTCCAAAAAACTCAAACACACTCGATAGTGCTGAATGTTTCACACCCACCCATGACAGTAAATAGTCATGTCTTCTACACCTACGTCAACTTTATACTTTTTAACTGATAATGGGACTTTCTCATTATCAGGGTTTTTTTCTCCCTCAGACCTTCAACCATTGAATCATCAGAGCTTCAGAGGCCAGAAAGTCTCTAAAAGTAACAAGTGGGGCAATAGAGGCAGCAGCAAGTTAGCTTTATGTGGTTTCACACCTTTTCTGTTAGATGTTAAACTGGCTTCTGAAGGCCCATAGAATACATGATACATTTCCATTCATTATCTGCTATCTGACTCATGTGAAGTTCTTTGCTACTGCAAAGGTCACAAACACAAATTCACAGAACTTTTCTTGTATTTTACTGCTATGGAAGGAACTATGCAATGCCTACCGATCTCAGTTCCTTCCTGGTAAATCCAGTCCACTGTGCAGCCCACTTCAGTGAACACTGCTGTGAAGAAGGGACACCCAGCTAGGATGCTGTGTGGAGTTTTACACAACAACCTTGCTTCCACTTCCCGTGAGCCCACACACACTCCTGCAGGATCAAAGTTTGGCGTGTCCTCTGCCAGCCACTCCCGTGCCAGCCGGGTCAGGGTGTGGTGTGGGACTGAGTGCACAGCCGGGTGTTGGCATGGTGGAGACATACTACAAGTGAGAGAAAAGAAAGTGATGAGAAACTTCAGTTGCTGGGAATGTTGACATGAAAATGAGAAATGAAAGCTGATCATAAGTCAAAAAGTCAAAGTGCTTTCTTGTCCTTTAATGACAACATGAATGAATGATTTGAGTCAATTCTGAGCATGGAGACAATCTAAATCTTGTTCCTTTTTCTTTCTAGTAAAGAATGGTAGTGAAGGAATTATAGAAAATCACAAATAGTGGATATTAATCTTTATATTGCTATCAAAAACACTTAGAAAGAGAATAGTGCCTGTGAAAACCTCAAGGAACAGAAATCTGGCACATACAAAAGTGAAGATCAACGACTGACACTGTGTGTATATACACAGGCGTACATTTTCATAAACATCATTTACATCTTATTTGTAAAGCTGTGTGAGTTTTTATCTCAGCCATTGTGGAATTCTGCCTTCTTTAATTTGCACACACAAAAAAATAATCAGGAAACAGGTGATGCTTAAAAAAACAAGCAAATATTATTTGTTATTTCTGCTCTAACCCTAAAACTTTAACTCAACCCTGAAAGTCCACAGTGAGTTTCACTGTGGAGAGATTGTATTTGTCTGATATTCGCTTCTTTTCACTGGATGTCTATTAAATTCAGAACTTAATTAAAATGCTTCATCTTTCACACAAAGTTCTACAATCAGGCCACATCATAGCTTAAATACTTCATATGACAGTAGAGTGCTTCACTCTCACACTGTGGTTCTTCCTCAGGCCCTCCTCCTGTGGAACCAGCTCTCAGTTTTGATTCAGGACAGGATTTAAATCGGCCTTAAATCTTCACTTTTTGACAGAGGTCGAGTTTGGGCTCAGTGTTATTATCCTGATATAGGCTCAGACTACTGTAAGACTTCCCATGGTGCAGTGCGCATTTTCCTCTATTACCCTCTTTATACTCGTCATGGATTTGTACACTTTCACTAAATGTCATTAACTTTTGCGTTCACGCTCCTGAAGTTTGCGTCCTTCTCTCTTTGTATGCAGCACATGGCTGCCCCTCCCTGGTGTTGGCCTCTTCCTGTTATATGGGAGTTCTTTCTCTCTACCATCGTCACATTTTTGCTTTCAGGTGGACATAGGTATATAATTAAAGTAACAACTTCATTTAAGTGCTATTTATGATGTGAAATTGAGACACTAATTCTAGAAGTGGAGAAGAGGAAATGTGTTTTTCTCGGGGGAGGCAGGACGATCTTAGTCTTCAGCTCAGTGAGGTAATTTGCTCTGAAAAGGTTCAGAACAAAGGGCAGAGGAGGGGGAAGGAGTGAGGGGAAGAGAGATATGGTGAAATCTACAGCAAAAGATCCCTGTGTGATACACTGTATTACTCATGCTGTTAGTTTAATCCACTTCTACACGTTCAATCTGATTTTCTACAGATGAAAAACGGGTGGTTTTTCTGACAGTTTTGTCCTGTTAAATAGTGGGCCGTTCTTCCTCCCCACTATCACTGAGTAGTGTTCGCAGCCTTTCAAAATAAAGCATCTGGAATCTGGAGATTGGCACTATATAAACACAAGTAAATTGATTCAGGACATGTTCATTTGCCTGATTCCTGTGCACGTGAACAATTTTGTCATTCAAAAGACACTCAGACATTCATATGATTTTAACATATATCTCTGGCTGAGGCATGGCAGTGAAAAACAAGAAGTGCTGTTTCATCACTGGGTGCTGTGTTGTGTAATCTTGTAATCTTTTGTAATCTTGGTTCAGAATTCAAAACTAAAACAAAAAAAGACAAAGAAAAAGTCAGGTCAAAGTTCAGAACCAATGAGTCTCACGGACGTTTGAAACAAGATGAAAGCTGCACCCACGATTACAAAAAAAGTTTTATCAAGTTGATTTGAAGCCAGCGGACACATTAATCAAACAAATATTAGTTTAAGGAAGGCATGGATTCAAGTTTAAACTGAATTCTGGGAGATCAGATGATCTTACTGCCACATCCTAAACTTACATCAGATGATAGCATTAATGATTTAGGACCCTGAACAGAGCTGAACTGCTAAATATGAATTACTGCAGGTGAGAATATCCTCTTATTGTGACTGTAGTGGCTCTCACTAACAGATGGGTTTACAAGTAAACAGAAAATATATACAAAGAGAAGAAATAAAACTTCTATGGAAATGTTTTTGTTAATTTTGTCACGGTTCTGGGTCGCTGACGCAGCGTTTTGAGTTTATTGTTATTATTTTCTAGTTTCTCCTGATTTTGTATTAGTTCTTAGCGTTTAGTTCTTGTATTTTTAGTGTTTTATTATTCCTAAATGTGTTCTCCCCCCCCCCGTGCTCTGTTTGTGTCCCCGAGTTTGTGTTGAACAGTTTGTGAATTTCCTGTTTTACTTTGAAGGTCTGTGTCTCGTTGTGTCTAATTAGGTTCAGCTGTGTTCCCCTTTGGCGTGTCATTCCCTCGTTACCTTGTGTGTATTTATAGTGTGTGCCTGTCTATTTGTTTGTTGTCAGCTCGTCTGTGTAATTTGGTAAACCTCCGCGGCTCTCTGCTCGCTATTCTCCATGTCCTTATGTTTTCAGGTTTGTTCATTAGTTTTTCCCAGTCTAGGTTTTAGTTGCTCCCTGTCCATGACAAATTTTGTCATATAAAAAATTATATAAAGAGTTTTTCAAGTAAACAAATTTAAACAGGAACATCTCCAGAAAGAACCAAAACAGGGATACAATAAGACAACATTAAAATAAGAAATGATAAATAATAAAACAGTACAAGTACTAAAATGAATTCTAAAGTGTAACTCAATCCAATAAAACAGTAAAATGTTAATTTAAAATATTAATTAAAACAGTAATGATCAAAAGTAAAACGTCCTTATTAACCATATTTTATTAAAACACTAAATGTACAGTTTTAATTCACATTTAAATGCTTTAAAACATGTTTTTTTTAACATTATCATTCCTTCAATCCAACTTTCACATAAACATGTTGAGCAGAAGGATAATTACAATCACTGCGTATTCAAAGTCTGTTTTATGATTGGAACAGTGCGATAAAAGTAAATAAAATATTTACTTACGTCTCCTTCTCTATTAGCCAAAGTAGAAGTGCTGAGCACAGAGAGCCACTGGAAAAATGTTAACGTGGAATTTGACCCCAAGTCCATGCTGGAATGTTTACAAGAGTTAACACTGCAGGCTTTCACAATGATCCTTTTGACCACGTCTGATTTAAAGGTTGCTGAGGTCAGGCTGCTTATTTGTAAAAACGACCTGCAATAAATTCAAAGTTTTCAGCCAATACATCCGAAAAACACGCCGAGACTTTTTAGTGTGTTAATAAAATATTACAGGTTACAGATTCAGTGAATGAGTCACCTGGTCCTATTGTGATTAAAATAGATTAAGCATTATTCGACTTCTAGTAATTCTAGCATTTCAATAACATTGAACAGAACATGTTTTTGGTTTTTTTGGTTTTTAAGAGCCAAAGAGAAGTGAGTTTGAGCCCCTTTCCAGTGATACGGTTCAACAGTTTCTTTAGCTCAAGGAAAACAAGCACAGGAGGGGATGTCAGCGAGGACAGCTGGGAGATTGGACAGGATGGAGGGAGATCTCACCGGGAGAGAGCAGAGTTTGGTTAGACCAGGTGAGACTATTAAAGAATCCACAAGGCGAGTCATGCAAGGTGAGCGAGGTTCCACACCTGGAGATGTGTGGGAAGGATGATTATACAGAGTCACTGGTTTGCTTTGGGGTGGTAGATGAGGGTAATAGGAGGATGGGCAGGCACGCGAGTCACCCACTGGAGGGTTCAACAGGAAATGACTAGCTCAACAGGGACAGATAAAAGATTCTGAGGCCTGAACTGCTTTTCAGAAACTCATGAAACACCAGAAACCAGAGAGACAAGAACACTCAAATAGAGCGCTTAGAACAGCACAGGAAACCCACTAGGGACTGATTACCACTCTGAAGAGACACAGGGCCAAGGAGTGGGAACCCCGGGGCTCCTTCCTAGACTCAGAGACCGTAAGAAAATGAGGCCAACCAGTGCGGGAACATGGCACACGCTGTATTAATCAGAATTTGTCATTCACACATTAAAGAACTGGTTTCCAAGGTAAAACTTGGAATATGTTTTATCTCTGCTTGGACTGGTTCCTTTAAATCTGCATGCTTCCAGCCAAAATTGACTAAAAAAGAGAAAAAGTTTAACTATACCACACCTTGTTTTCTTGGAAAAACAAGGAAGTGAAATTGTCAGAGCTGGATACTAATGCAGAGTTTCAACAGAATGAACATTTTTAAAATGCTGTGAGAGCAAAAACCTCATTATGCTCTTTGGACATGCAGGTGTGCGTCTGCAGGAACCGGCCCAAACAGAGATGTATAAAAATAAAAGCAATCGGTGGAAAGAGCCACTTAGCAACGTGGACCACTTGTAAAGGGTAAAGGTTATTCATGGAGTCATTGCTAGTTAAGGTTAAATGAGTGCTTGCCTCAACAAGGCTCTGACTCTATGCCAGCCTGGCTAAACAATTGCATTTTTTCTATTTAGATTTATCACGTCCACATTATACAACTTTTTTGGAATTGGGTTTGTATTCCTTTTGGTCTTGTGACTGCTCTTAAAGTTATGTTTGCATGTTTGTCATCTGTGAAGCTACATTTGTGATGGTTTATGATTAGAAGTGGTCTGTTTTAAAAAGACATTTTAAATCTCAAGAAGACTTTAACAAGATGAAGAATTTATATAATAATTAAAAACATATTCAGATTTTGACCCCTCGGGTGCATAAGATCCTCCTTAAAGCTTGATGACCTTGGCCAGAGATGTTTTATGTATTTCTGAGGGAGCTGTAAACTAAAAGGGAAAGATTTGGTTTATTTTACTAATCTGCTTTATTTCTTTTTACGCTTTAAAAAAAAAATTGTTTCCAAGCTTGCATGTTAAACTGTATTGTTTGTTCTTATTCCTAATTTTATGATCTTTCTATTCCGTGCCTTGGAAAGAACTTTGTAACTTAACAGATTTTTATTATCATCAACACCAGAGAGTGGTTCTTACAAGGCTCTTATTCACTCTCAGATTTGCAGTTTTGATTAGATGGAGGCCGGGACAAGGAGACCTGCTGTTTTCCCAGAAATCTCCCAAGTGTCTTCTAATCATAGAGCCATTTTTAACCTCACAATTGTGTAGCTGTTATTCCCTAGAAGTGCAGTTGTTAGACAAAGCATTGAACTGTTTCTGAATTTCCTCTTACAGGGCTTGCACAATTCTGTGGTCCCTGACTGGATTGAGAATCTACAACGTCTTTTATCATTGTAAAGATTTGTGTATGTTATTTACAAAAAAAAAAAAAAAAGAAGAAGAAGAAGAAAGAAAATTTGACCCCACATCTTTGTCTTTTGTCATTTTCACATCCATGGCTGTGAACTTTCTGCATAAACTCGTGAATAGTGGTTAACAACACTGGTGTGTGTATATGTGACCATGGTACATACATTCAGTTTAAATGTCTTTTCTGACGTGAGAGTTTACAAAATGGACTTTATCTTTATTCAATATGGCCTAAAACTAGTGACTTACTCCGTGAAAGGCTCTTAGAAACACTTAGAAAAGTGTTTATTAAGGCCACAGATCAAAAAAGCTGAAGGTTGTTCTCTCATAAAGAGGCTGATCTCTTATTGGAAACAGGTATGAGAGACAACACAGGTGGGGTTACTCAGTGTAAGTGATTAATCCAAAAGGAAGGTGAAGGTTACCACAGTGTAATTTCATTAAGAATTACAAAAATAAAACAGGAAGTTGCAAAACTGAAACCCAGCATCATGAGTTTCCTTGTTAAAGACTATTACTCACATTCTTACGCATGGAAATACATTGCATGTGTCTTTCACATTGAAAAAACCAAATCTTTCAGAATATATTCAGAATATATATTTGTCTATCTTTCAGACAGACAAATGACAAATGGCTAATCTCCTGTAACCAGATATTGTAACTACTATGTTTAAATGTAACAGAAACTGAGCATTTTTTGATTATTACATAAGATAATGTGATGAATTAGGAAAGAATCAGCTGTGATGAAACACAGCGCTCTGTGAAACAGTCAATGAAACAATGGACAAACTTATGTTTGATGAAAGGTATCAAAAGCAGACTGAAGATTAAAAATGGCCTCCTATCACATCTCTTCCAGTTTGGTCGGGATGTGACAGGAGACGGAGACAGTTGCTCCCCTTGACTTTTCCAACTTTTCCATTCTTCAGTCTCTTTTTTTCAATACATAAGCGTCACACTTCCATACTTTTTGTTCAGTGGCAGTTTTGAGTATTTGCTCAAGTCAACGTGCTGCACTTCTGTAACCTGTACTGTTAGGAGACCTGGGTCATCAACCCAGAGTTTTGAGTTTTCATTATTATTGAACTTTGAATTTGATATTCTTTATCATTTCTAGTCTTTTGGTTTCTTTGTTAGAGTTCTCTGTCTTATTGTTTATGTCTCTGTGTTCTATAGTCCCTCTCCCCTGTCAGCCGTCGCCCCTTGTCAAGTCAGCATTTCTGTGTTATGTTTCCTGTTTTACTTTGAAAGTCCGTGTCTCATGTTAATGTATCCGGTTTTGCTTCCCTTGGTTCGTCAGCCCTTATTTGTCCCAGCTGTGTTTCCCTCACATTCGGTCCTCCTTACCACCACACCTGCCTGCACACAACACGTACACATACATGCACATATCTGCACCACTTTTATTTTATGTTTTTTTTTTCCTACATCAGTTGCAGGACCAGTGGTGGGGGGGAGCAGGGGGTATGGAGGGGTGAGAGTTATCTTATATTGCTAGTAAAGCTTTAGGAGGCTGTAGTGGCCTTGGTTTTGTTGGTTTCATTTCTCTTTACAAGAGAATCCTACCCTATTGCTTATGTTTGGGGCTCTATAGACCCTTTTCCATTAGTACCTACTCCAATCAACTCTCCATGATTTGACCTGGAACAGCTGATTCCATAACAATTTAGTACCTCCAAATGTGCATAGTCATTTTCATATCAACACGTCGGAGGTCTCGTGGCATAAGATAAAAGGCCTGGACTTGATTTGACGTGTGGTTCTTGCATTTGGAAGATTTTGCTGTGAACAGACAACATGCGGTCAAAAGAGCACTCCATGCAGGTGAAACAAGCCATCCTCAGGTGGGGTTGATTTTGGGGGATGTTGGGGGGGGGACAGGATTGCACGATTTACCTCAACTATGTCACCTTAACAACAATTAAGTGTATCTTACAACCTAAGACCATGTTGTAATATACTTATTCTATTCTTTTTGGATTTTTTCATCTTTTTCCTTTCACAACCGTTGCACTGTTGTCTCTTTTATTGTGCTTGTTTTAAATGTGTGTATGACCTATTTGGTTAAAAAAAGGCCAGATCAAGGGAAGAGCTAGTGATATATGAAACCGTATCATCAGAGTTTAGGGTGGCAGTGATAAAAGTGTTTATATGGTAAATGAGTGGTAAAGTGAGAAGCGATACTTGTGGAACACCTGTACTGACAACAAATGATACCTTGCCTGAACACACCAGAAAGTCATGAATGATCAGACCACATCATATCTTAAAGATCTAACAGGGCTCTGTTGGTCATAACACCTCCCCCTTTTGTGCAGTAACTCCTCCCCTTTTGTGAGTGTGGACACTTCCTCTATTTGCTCTTTAAATGCTTTGCTTCTTTTATTGAAATTTATTTATTTGTTTATTTTTATTGATTTTTATGCTGATTTTTTCCCTTTTTTCCGTATGAGCTTACCTGCGATAGCTTCTGGACACTTATAGATCATTAGGACTAAAATGTTCTTAACAGAAACAGCAACATTTTTATACACTCAACAAAAATATAAACGCAACACCTTTGTTACTGCTCCCATTCCCCATGGGATGGACGTAGAGACCTAAAATTCATTCCAGATACACAATATAACCATCCCTCCCAAACAGTGGTCACAAATCAGTCCAAATGTGTGGTAGTGGGAACATCTGCTATATTGAGATAATCCATCCCACCTCACAGGTGTGCCACATCAGGATGCTGATCTGACATCATGAGTAGTGCACAGGTGTACCTCAGACTGCCCATAACAAAAGGCCACCCTGGA